TTGGACGGGCTTGTGTAGATATGAAAATGAGCAATGACGTCATCAATTCCGATATCGCACACCATACTGTCCACACATTTGTAGAAATCGCGCCACTGTGTGTCTCATTTGCGGCAGGATAGACCTTGCCAATGCCAAAGTATCAAGGACTAAATCTTGTGAGATATAATTTGCTGTTGTTCATATATCTAGAAACATTTTCCATATTTTTCGCGGCTGCATATTGCATCACTGCAGACTTTCTTTAACTGTGGCATTAAAAAGTGCAAACTGACAATTTCTTTCATTTTAGTATAGCATGTTTTGGTATAGAAAGAAAAGGTTACAAATATTTCATTGATTACGTATCTTTAAAAGGCAGTCGAGCTTTTCTCACTATCTGTTGAACAAATTGATATTTTAGGGGAGCTTGCGAACAAAATACTTATCGTCCGAAAAACTCATTGCTTTTCCAAAAGTGATGTTATTCCACCGAGTGGGAAACGCGTCTGCTGCGCTAGTATTGTATTTTCGGAAATTTTGTGTTTCCATGATTTTGCGGTTGTATTCTCTGGAATGCCTGGGAAAATTGGATAGTTGGGAACGATAAGAGACCAAGGGGAGTGAGGTAAGCTCTATGCGAATACTATAGACGTATATTGCACGTCCACTTGTTAGTGCATATGCTATTGCGCTACCGAAACCTGCACTGAGTTGTCTTAAGTTCGTGAACCCATACATCTACCCATGCAACATTTTTTTGCAGACATTTTAGACGTATGGACATTGGTGCTATTCTGGGTTCAAACAGCTGATATAGTAACATGCATGTTTTGACATAAGCAGCATTAAACATTGTGCTTGCTGCCCAGATTGAAAAAATACACTACGGCGTGAAGAACATGCCTATTACTGCAGCAACATGAAGGCAATAAATTCAGTGCATATTCACCATGAATACATGAACCCACAGTTTGGAGTGCTGTCACAACCAAATTCAGAGCTTAGACTGCTGATGTCTCTATTAACTGTAATAGCACATACTTTTCAGCAAACACACTCCGAAAATTTTTGTTTTCTGCAAGCTAATTTTCAAAATCCAGCACAACCTGGTCTGGCCTGAGATAGGCACTTGCTAACATGATGTTTAGCTCATCAATGTCCTGCTGGTATCCTCTGCAATGGATGAATTTCTTGGCAGACTTGCCCTCAACCTTTGTGCAACTCGTAAGTGGATTTGCCGTAATAATGGCTTTGTTCTGTTCATTAAAATTGGGTGTTCTGTGATCATTTCTTAAGGTCATGGTTATCATACATGGGATGTCACAAGTTTTAAGCATTTATCAGGATATGATGCATGTCAATATAGTAAGAGGCCACCAGATCAGGCTGTGCCAACATCCTATGGCTAATTTTGATGCTTTCCTTCATGCTTAGTTTCCATGTGCAGAAAGCTTTTTGGTAAAGGTAGGGCTTTTATATTTCTGAGCCATCACTCACATCCAGTGTGTTGCCTTCATTTCTGAGAGCTGCATGTGTTTAAGGCTTAGTGTTGGAAGATAGTCATTAACAGGAGTACATTCTCTTAACCAGAATTACAGATAGGGTTTCAGGATGATATTATGTTGTTAGCTGGAAAACCTGTAGCTTTCAAGGTTTTTTTAGTACTGGTAATCTGCCATCAGTGGCCTAGCAAGGGTCTTAGCACATTGCATGTATCTGTAACAGCAAACTGACATTGGGGATAACTGGAGTGGTAGGTATGACAATATAGTGAACAACAGTTGGACCTGTTGGAACCTCGGCCCATTGCTGTGACCTTAAAAGGAAGGCCAGCAGTATCAGTATTGTTCTCTATGGTCTTCTCTTTTATCAATATCTGCCCTTAATTTCCAGGCTAGAACTGAGCCGAAGAACTGATAAATTAATTGTCCTTATGTGGATGTAAAACTGATGCATGTTATAATGGTGCTCACTGATTCTATTCATATATAAAGAAATGGTAAACTTTACTTTTATGCATTTCTTCCCCACCACCATTGTCAACAAAATGACCTCTCACAAACCTGATCAATTTTAGAATCAATGGCCTTTAGAACCTCATCCAGTATCTAGGCTGGCAAAGGCAAGCACAGTTTGATGGGGAAGAGGATCAGTCATTTCACTGAAGCAGCTGTTAGGCTGGGGTGCTTACTTTTGTCTAAGTTGTAGAGTGCAAAGGCTTTCAAACTGTTAGTGAAAAATGTTTTTAATGTCTTTAATAATTGGGTGGGATGTTTGGTCTTCAGTAGAACTCACATGGTCTCTTTGCATGAACAATTGTTGCCATAGAACATTCAAATATGTTTCAATTTGAGCAGAGGCTAAAATTGGGATGAACATAAGGCTTATGAACAAGCTCAGATAGGATATACCTGCAGCTCTAAATAATTGCAGTAACTACCATTTTTCTTGGGTACAGTTAGGAGCACAAAATTGTTGTGTACCATTTAGCAGCAGGTGCCAGCTTTTGCAACACTTCTGATTTATTGAACCCTTAGTGCAGCAGATCAAGAGCATGCATGGCATCCATTGACCCACCTGTTTATGGTGTTTTTCATAATCATTCTCAGATCTTGGCAGGCAGAATACATGTGAATTTGACTTCAACTTTATGGTGTAAACAAGTGTACTTCATACCTGTTGTCATGTGGCCAATTTAATGTTGTCCAACCCTTAGTAACAACAGGGACACTTAAGTATGTTTGTCAGGGCCCAGAAATCATTATGTGTGGGCTTTTATTTGGTGTCAAGTGCAAGATGCATACAGCAAGATATATAGCCATGAAGAGCATGTGGTTCCAATGCAATGTGGCCAATATTCATCCATAATGGTATTTTTGAAATACTTTAATCACAGTGTTGATACACTTAGAATGAATTTTCTGATTTTGTTTGTTTGAAATGGATTGGCTTCATTATTTGCAGATGTTAGTCATAACATAGGCATTAAGCCTTGCTTTGTTTTTTTTTTGTATTTGCCTACCATCTGTGATTATGTGCCACAGATTGGCAATGATGCCTGGAGTGAACAGCCGTGATTTTCAGGCACACAGACACATAAGATATGCTGGTCTTTAGTGACAGGAAGGGTGATTCTGTAGGATTTTTGCTCTGAGAGCGATTTTGTGAGATGTATAATGTCCAAGTTTGAAGGTGCCTGCAGGCAGGATGTTTTGCCAGATATGGTATTCCTGCAATCTGATAATATGAGATGTTGCTACCACGACATCATTACACAGAAACATAAAGTCTTCTTATTTCGAGAAAGGCTCGCTCCGTGACCGGAGGCTGGTCTCGGGTATCGGCTCCGCTGCGCGAGAGACCTGCGCAGTTTGACGCAGGGGAGGGCCGATAATGGTGTTTGCATAACTGTGAGTGGATGCGTGCGGTCGGTCACGAGCGCTCGAAGACAAACCATGGATCGGTAGCTCTCTGAGCATTTTATCGATTTGCCATATCTCAGCAGCCAGAGAAGACGAAGGTCTGAAACTGATTGCCCTTACCGTGTATGGGCTGTGCTCCAAATATTGTGATCTGGCAAATAATATGCGTGAATGTTGGTCACCATGCGCTGAACCATGCACCTGTGTTGCTATCATGTCCCATTATCCCCCGATGTAGGGCACACGTGTTGTATTGGAGGCCGGTTTTGGAAAGCGTCACATTACAGCTTCCCGGTCTCTTACTGGGGCGCCTGTGGTCCGGGTGGTATTGAGGTTACCCCGCGATTTGTGTACGGAACATTTGCTTGCGCCATGCAGTCGGCTTCGCGAGTTGGTCTGTTCTTCTTGCCGAGATCTGACACCTGTCCCTGAAAACGTCCAGCAGCGGCTGAGTCGTGGACGTTGCTCGAGGGCGTGTGACAGGCTGCACAAACCGCCTCAATTTGCCACTGCCATCGCGTGGTCCCGGTTTACTCAAGATTATTGGTCTCATATCGTCGTGGAGTCAGTTTTAGCCAGTTTGCCAGGAGCCAGTTTGGAGAGGTTTTAGCTCGGTTGTGACATTTGTGGAACAGCTTTTTCACAATAAGCATACTTTACGTTTTCCATGTTGATTGCATGGAGCATGTTAAATGCGTTTTAGCTTGTAATGTCTCATGAATGTCACGCCCGGTCCAGCAGCTTGCATGCAGGCGTCTTTAAGGATGCACACCATAAGCTTTACAAAATCGTGCTTCTTTTCGCTGGGAGCTATGAAACTGCGATCAGTGCTTGTTAAGATATGAGCCTCCGAAATCGTGACGGCTGGGGCCGGTCTGGCACGTGCCGCTCAACTTGAGCACTGTATCGCCGTCCAAGCGAGCCTCGCTCGTCACGAGCACGCCCGCGGCCGTGCGCCCGTGTACGCTCGTGCCATTGGCCGGGGGTCCCACCGGCATTCGTGGAACACGTCGTGAAGCAGGTGACGTGATAAAGACGGCACCACTTTGGCATTCCTGAAGGGGGGGGGGGGGGCAGATTTCCTCGGCTGGTCGCAAAGCAGGTGCCTCCGGTAGTACATCCGGGGCTTAGGCAAACCAGGTGTTGGTGGTACGTGCTAGGGCGCTGAGCAGGTGGCGGCGGCGGACTCCGGGGCGGTGCTGCGTCACACCACTGTCCGTGGACCGCGGCTAAATCAACTAGCCCGAGGTGGCATCGTTGTGCGTCACCTGGCAACAGAAGTAGTTAAGCGGGCACTAACCCGCCGTGGCATGCGCTATACGAAATGGCGACTTGGTGGGCGGTGGAACCCGGCGCTCAGTCCACCGAACCACTGGAAACCTCTGGCTGGTCGGTGTGGTCGTATTCGTCGGACTCTCGCGAGCGTAACAGCGGCATCAAAACTAGCCCATCTCGGTGTTGACGCGGGGGTGTCTGCATTGTCGCGCAAGGTGTTGACAGATGGTGGCCCTGCCGCTAACCTGGCGTGTGTCGCAGCGGCGCGCTGTGTGACGTCACTGGTGCTGCCTATGGCCGGGCGGCATCCTGTCCTCCAGCATGGACGATCTGCTGCCGATCTCGGTGGACGAGCTGTGCCGTAACCCCGCTGCTCTGCCCGCTGTGTAACAGGTGAGAGGCGACGGCGATCCGCCACGCCGTCCGTGCCGGTGCCAGTGCCGGTCGGCCGGCGGCCCGACGCCGCCCACCCACGGCTGTGCTCTGATTACGAGCATGGCTTGTGGCAGCTGCCGTGGTCAGCAGCATTGCAGCCATGTGTGCCTGCTGGTTATCGACGGTCGCAGTGTGCCATGCCGATTTCTAAGAGGGCAACGGAAGGTGGTAGCAGTGGGTTATGTATGGGTCGCACCGCGAACATTTTCGTGGTGAGGTAGACATTTTGTGATGGAGGCACTGCGTCATGATCCGCGTTAAGGAGCGTAGAAGTCTTGAGCGGTCGCTGTGTGTGTGTCGCTGCGCAGCTGACTGCCCCGTCCGACACCATCGACAGGTGTACGACGAACCGTGCCTGCTGGTGTGTTTTCACTCGTTCTGCGCCAAGTGTTTGCGGGTGCGTGTGGTGGACGGACGGCTGAGCTGCACCATCTGCAGGTGAGTCCGGCCCCGGCCCCGGCCCCGGCCCCGGCCCCGGCCCCGGCCCCGGCCCGGCCCCGGCCCCGGCCCCGGCCCCGGCCCCGGCCCCGGCCCCGGCCCCGGCCCCGGCCCCGGCCCCGGCCCCGGCCCCGGCCCCGGCCAGCAGCCCTTATCCCGTCGTCGGCAGCCGAACCGCACGGCGTCGACCCTGCTGGGTGAATCACCGCCCGCAGTCCTTGTCCTCACCTGAGTCAACACTCAACCCTGCGGCCGGCGCCACCTGTGCTCAGTCGAAATACGACGAACGACGGAGTGACCAGCCGTGCCAGGACCCGCTGCCCGGGGCGTGGCCCGCTGCCCGGGTATTACCCGCTGCCTGGGGTATGACCCGTGCCTGGGGCATGACCCGCTGCCCGGGGCGTGACCCGGTGCCTAGGGTATGACCCGCTGCTGGGATGTGACCCGCTGCCGGGACGTGACCGCTGCCCGGGGCGTGACCCGCTCCTGTGGTGCGGCGTCTGGCCTGGTCTGACCCGCACGGGCTGGCTGCGGCTGTCGATCGGCCGCCCCGCCGCCTGGTCAGCCATCGCGGTCCGAGCGCGGCCGGGCCCCGCGCGGCGCCTGGTCAGCCAGCCCGCCGGTCCGAGCGGCGGCCGCCCCGCGCGGCCCGCCGGTCAGCAGCCCGCCTGTCGAGCGCGGCCGGGCACCCGCGCGGCCGCCTGGTCAGCCAGCCCGCCGGTCAGCGTCGGCCGGGCCCCGCGCGGCCGCTGGTCAGCCAGCCCGCCGGCCCGAGCGCGGCGGGCCTCGCGCGGGCCGCCTTTGACGCCGCGCTGCCGGCCCGACCTGCCGCAGTAACGACGACGGTGCTGAAGGACGGCAACAGCTTGCCGCCGGCTGACGTGCTGCTCCGCTTCTGGTCGAGTTCTCCACTGAGGCGCGCACGCCCTGCGCCAACTGCGAGACCACCGAGAATATCAGCATGTTCTTCTGCAACACCTGCGGTACGGCATCGCCGCTATTGTAATGCCAAGCTTGCTTTCGGCTCGTCGCTGATGAGATCAAAACCGGTTTTCAGCACGAACGAAAACGATTGCAGGGGCTGTGCAATAGGCGATCACGGCACGTTCGGTGACAAACGGATGGGTGGATTACTTTGGACGAGTTTGGGCCCGTTGGGCTAAGGCCCAAGTGATGTCGTTGAGTCCTTTTGAACTTTTTTGCATTTTTTGTTTTGCAAGACAAGTTAGCGGAAATAATGTGGGCGAGACTCGCCCTCAGATGGATGATAAACAGAAGATGGGGGGCTGGTTACACCTGTCTTGTATCCCATATGGAAGTGGCGGTCCCCAGCTGGCCCGGTGGTCATCGTGTACCGCCCAGTGGCGCGAGGAAGGTGCCGAGCTTGCTGCCGCCCTCCGCCGTGGCCGCCTCGCGCAGTCCACCCCGGCATGGCCGGCGGCTGGTCTTGCAAGCCACGGCCCGGGTACTGGTGGCGGCGCGGCGCGCGGTCAGCGCGCTCGTGGCCCGTGGTGGGGGCCAGCTGCGGCCGCTGCTGCAGCCACCGCTGAATGGCCGGGTGGAGCGGACCGATCTGTCAGTGATTGGTGCCGCTTATGGCGCCCCCCACCCAGACACACGCTATAGCCGGCGTTCAATAGGCCGTGGCGAAGTAATTTCCCGAATGTGCAAAAAAAAGTGCCGTTGCTGAATATGTCCTACAGTGCGCAGCTTCCTACCGACCTTCTCCAGCCCCTGCTCCCTCACTACCGTGCCTAGTTATTCGGCTAATATATATATATATATATATATATATATATAATATATATATATATATATACTATCTATATCTATCTCTATATCTATATCTATATAATATATATATATATATATATATATATATATATATATATATGCCCGGGGTAGCGGGCGGTGCCGTGCTCGGCTGACTGTCTCTGCCGCCCACCGCTCCAGGCCAGGCCGCTGTGTGAGCGCTGCAAGAACGAGACGCACCGCGCCAAGATGTTCTCCATGCACGAGGTTATGACGCTGTCGGAGCGAAGCTGCGCAAGGCCTGCAGCAGGTGAGCGGGCCGCACCCGGCCTCGAGGCTCGGCCCCGTCGCCAGCGACGCCGCCGTCGCCCCCAGAGAGCGCTGCCGTCCCGGCAACCGTAGCGCCCACGCGAATCTGTGCACGTGCAGTGGCGTTTTGGACCCAGTGGTCTCGTCGTCCGGTATGCCTCTGTGAATGCATAGTGACTGGTGCTATCGGGGCCGTCTGAACGCTACAAAGGCCGTCGTGCACCTGTTCCCCTCGTGCCGAGGCTGCGGCATGATTCACGGCCACACGGCCCTGTCCGCTGATCTCAAGGTCGCAACGGTGTACCGCTGCAGCAGCTGAGGCGTGCCGGTGTCTTGTATGTCGCCGGTCGTTGACGTCCGCGATGGTGGCGCCGTTGGCCGCAGTGTGCGGTGCACAACGAGCCCCACATCATGTTCAGCACGGACAAGAAGGAGCTGCTCTGCATCAACTGCTTCCGCGAGTACAGCGCCGAGTCCAAGCTGCACTGCGTCGACCTGGACACGGCCTACTCGGACAGCGTGCGCCGTCTGGAGCGGACCGTGGTGGTGGGTAGAGCGCGCCGCCCGGACCCGGGGACTGGGCCTGAGTCGGGGGCCACCCTGTCCCCTGAGCTGAACTGCGCGCTGCGGACCGAGGTCCGGGTGAGCTGATTGCAGACAAAGTCGCAAATGGGCATAGGGTCGTTTGTAGCATGAATGAGTACGTACGTTAACAAGTTGCTGTGCAGATGATGGATGGTGTCAACTCGGCTCTGCTGATCGGCTCAGCTCGCATGATGTACCGTCATGTTCCGTGGCCTCCCAGCTGACGTTTCAACGGCATTGATGAGCAGCGCCTTGAATAATGCTAACAAGCTGTCCGTGTCTGAAGGACGTAATCAATATTGTGGGGTGTACGGGGACAAGTGTCAGCGAGTTGTGTCTGTCAAGAGGGCACACGTGGGCTGCAGAACGCGATGAGGTACAAGCGCCATCCTGGGCCAGCCCGTGTGTTCGTGGCCTGAGTACCTGCGAGCTGCAGAACTCGGTACACGGTCCGACATCACCCGGTACGGGCGCGTGTGTGTCCGTGCCCAGAGTATCTGCAAGCTGCAGAACTCTGTATTGGGTCCGACACCACCTGCTGTGGGCGGGTGTGTGTTCGTGCCCAGAGTATCCGCGAGCTGCAGAACTTGTACAAGGTCCGAACACGGTCCGACAGCACCGGGTATGGGCGTGTGTGTGTCCGTACCCAGAGTATTCCCGAATTGTAGAACTCGGTGCGCGGGCCAACATCACCTGCTGTGGGCGGGTGTGCGTCCGTGCCCAGGGTATCCCCAAGCTACAGAGCTCGGTACACAGTCCGAACACGTTCCGGCATCACCCGGCAATGGGCGCGTGTGGTCCGTACCCAGAGTATCCGCGAGCTGCAGAACTCGGTGCGGGACGGCATCATCTTGTACCGGGCGCTGCTGGACGAGGTGCGCCACAACATGGAGGCCGAGAAGACGGCCGTCGCCACGTTCTGCCGCCAGCTGCACGAGACCGTCAGCCAGCTGCAGGAGCGGCTGCTGGCCGATGTCGAGGGGGTACGCGGCGGCCGGCGCGCCGCCCTCCGCCGCCGTCTCCTCAGCATGCCCCGCCGTGCGCCGGTGGCGAGCCAGACGAATGTGCCGGCGCCGTGCTGCTCTCGTGTTAGGCCTGTGTGGGAGCTTCGTGCGTGGCGCGGTGGAACGGCACCCAGGCTCTGGCCTCCCGTTGTTACGTTTGTCTTTGGAATCTTAGCTTGGTTCGCTTTCATGTGCCAACATGTTATCTTTGGCGCGGTTCAGTGTGTTCACGCGATTGACTGGTCTTTTGTCTGATGCCAACAGCGACCTGCATGAAGATGCCTGTGCACTGTGTAGTTGGCGTTTAGTAGGCCGAGTTAAGTGGAACGCCTGCTTTGTTTTCTTTCCGTGTTGGTCCATGCTGCCATGATCTTGTTTTTCGTTTACCTGGCCAGCTTTCATCAGCATCTGAGTTATGTTCCCTGACTGAAGCACTTCAGTTGTTTTTGCGTTCATCTTGTGAGCATGTCCTCCACACTGCATTGTGACTTTTGCGCAACTGGACTTGTTGATGTGAAGTTTTTACAAACCTGTTTATTTTGTTAGGCAGGTTTTGTGGAGCTCTTTGATGTTGCTCTTTGCTCTTTGAAGAGCTTCCATTTCCTTCTTTTTTGCGCTGTTACATCGTCGGCTTGTAAACCCGGATAAAGTGAGCTTTCATTGAGATCGTGTTTAAATGCATTACCAACGCTGCTCGGATGGCCTGGCTTGTGCCGGTGGATGCGCCGCGTTGTTTGAACGCATTTGCTTCACTTCTGGCTCTACCTGCCGTGTTTTTCGTACCCAGTTGCTGTTTGTCGCCTGATTCCTTTGGCTGCTGTGTAAGCATAGACTGCGGTCAGAGAATAAGCTTCCGTCACACTGTGCATGTGTTTCATGCATTCTGCGCGGCATTGTTGTGTTATTTTCCGGGCTTTTTGCCATCGTGTTGTGATGCCTGGCTGCGACCCGCTACTCCCGAATACATCGCACCAGCGCTGCTACGGCAACTGTAGGAGAGCTCCACATCGTCTGTCCGCCGCTTCTGCTGATCTGTTCGCCCGCTGGCTGTCGTTTGTATCATGGTTAGCCAGGGTCTGTGATGGACTTCCCGTTGCTGCCATTTGGAACGCTTTTGCGTGCGCTGACGCTCGATGGCAGTGAGGCGCGTATGGTCCGACCGAGCCCCGTTCTCCCGCGTGGGATTGCGGCGCTCTGGTGCGACGCCACCGCTGCCGCGCCGTCGGCCGGCGCCGGGCTGGTGTGCTGCCGCGGACCGGCGGCCGGCGCCGACTCCCCGTGTCCCCGGGCTGGCCGGCGCTGACCCGGCGCCGCCGTCGCCGCAGGCAGTACACGCAGAAAGACGTCCACCTTCCAGCAGCAGCTGTGTGACCTGTGCGCCCTGCTGCCCGTGCTGCACGTGCACCTCAGCATGTGCACCACCTTCACGCACTCGGCGAACAAGACCGAGTTCCTGGACCTCAGCTACTCGCTGATGGCCCGGCTCTCGGACATCGCTCACATCGGCGTGCCGCTCAGGTCAGTATGCCCAGCTGAGAGCTCGGGTCACATGGATTGCCTGACAGCTTGGGTCAGATGGGTCAGCTGACAACTCGGATCAGGTGATCAGCTGATAGCTCGGATCAGGTAGTCAGCTGGCAGCTCGGGTCAGATGTTCAGCTGACGGCTCGGCTCAGGTGGTCAGGTGGTCAGCTGATAGCTGCGGTCTGGTGATAGCTTGGGTCAGCCAATGGCTCGTGGCAGCAGCAGCAGCTGAGATCTACTGGGTCTGCTGCGCCCAGCCAGCGAGGTCAGGGTGGATCTGTTCTCGAAATGAACCGGGCATAATTCGCTCTCGTCCTCAAATCAGGTGGCTGTTTATTTACGTGCGCGACCAGGACATTACAAGCTGAATGCATTTGCAAGTTGAGGAAGCTCGGTGCAAATAAGACTGCATGGATGACGTCATGTTGTCTGGTCGCTGGATGCTGTGAGACTGACATGGTGATCCGCCCGCCGTTGCCAACGTCCCCCTGTGGCCGCGCCGCCGGGCAGGCCGAGCCAGACGAGCCAGGTGAAGACCAACTACCGGCGCGAGGTGTACCAGGCGCTGGACCCGCTGCTGTGCCCGGCGGCGGCCGCCACGCCCGAGCCGGGCGGTCGGCTGCTGCCGGTGGCGCCGCGGCGCGCTCACACCGCCAACCGGCTGCGCCTGCTCGAGTCGAGCGGCCCGTTCGCCGACCACTGCCGCGCCATCGAGACGCGCCTCCAGGAGATCACGGGCCCGCTACCGGCAGCTGCGCGAGATGTCGCCCGACCGCGCTGAGGTCGCGTGCCAGGTGAGGCGGCCGTGCCGCCGCTGCCGCCGCCGCCGGCATCAGCAGCCGGCGGGAGTGCGTTGTTCCCGCCACCTCCCCGGAGGAGAAATCCAACGACGACCGCTGCGGCTGGGCCCGCTGGAGTGGGTCGAATGATTTGCTAGAAATGTTAATGGTAAGGTGAACTTAGGCGGGTCAGGATGGGGTAGAGAGGTTACTTGATGAAATAGCACCATTGAATATTGCTTTCCAGTCTGGTGGCAAACAAAAAGAGCAAAACTGTCCCATGTCATCGCTGCAGTGATGTCATGGAGACCATGCAGACCATGTCATGCAGGCCCGTCACAAAGATTTGAATGATCCCCACTCGCATGATAAGACTCAAATGCGTAACAAATGAGGTGACAAAACCAATTTCCCGTTTTGTGCGGTAGCATCCGAACGGTGACGGTACCCCGGAAAAGTCCGGCCGTAAGCTGGCACCGATCATCGCCATGTTGGTGAGCTGACAGGCGGCAAAACGCTGCCACTGTCGCGGGTGGCGTCCCCTGTCCGCTGGCCCCCCGCCGGCGGCTCTGGTCGCGCGCCGGCCGGGTGCGCTGTGCGGCCCGGGTCCGTGACCTATGTCCGTGACCACGTCGGCGCGCCCAGGTGGTGGACGGCGACATCGTGTCGCTGGCCTGCGAGGTGGAGGAAGCGCGCCTCCGGCTGCAGCACCGCTGGGACGAGGTCAACACGCGCCTGCAGATGGAGCGCGACGTGTTCTCGGCCCAGGTAAAGGCCTGACGCCCGCCTGCGCCGCGGCTCCGGCTCCGGTCCCGGCCCCGGTCCCGGTCCCGGTCCCGGTCCCGGTCCCGGCCCCGGCCCCGACCCCGTCCGGTCCGGTCCCGGCCCCGGCCCCGGCCCCGGCCCCGGCCCCGGCCCCGGCCCCGGCCCCGGCCCCCGGCCCCGGCCCCGGCCCCGGCCCCGGCCCCGGCCCCGGTCCCGGCCCCGGCCCCGGTCCCGGTCCCGGTCCCGGTCCCGGCCCCGGCCCCGGCCCCGGCCCCGGCCCCGGCCCCCGGCCCCGGCCCCGGTCCCGGCCCCGGTCCCGGTCCCGGTCCCGGCGCAGACAAGTCGAGGGCGGACAAACCACGCTCCAGCGACATGTGGCCTGCCGTGCGCGTGCCCGGGATTGGTTTCGTCCCGGTTTCAGCCACGTGTGACTGCGTCGAATCGTTTGGTTCCTTGCACAGCTGTCACTGAAGGTCAGCAGACCATGGTTATTTGTATGTGCGTGTGTGTGGTTGTGTGTGTGCGTGCGTGCATGCGCGTGCGTGATGAACGTCGTGTTATGTTGTATGTTACCCGGTCGGTGGTCGGCTGTCTGAGGGTACGCCGCTGACCGGGTGTGGCGCTCGCTCCGGCCAGGTGTGTGACCTGCAGCAGCTGCGCGCCGACCTGAACCGCTTCACAATCGCCATCAAGCAGCAGACGTGCGAGCGGCCCTCCTCCTGCGACCCACTCACCAACTCGCACTCCAGCGGCGCCGGCAAGAAGCAGAGGTGGGGCCCGGCTCGTCGCCTGATCCGGGGTAACGGGGGGGGGAGCGAATAATGCAGGGGAGCAGAGGATGGCTGGGGGGGGGGGGGGGGGGGGAGCGGGGCCCGTCTGGTAGCTGGCCAGGGACGCTCTCTTCCTGGATTGTTACGGCTTGCCATTCTGTCGTGAACTGTCAGTATGACTCACGTTATAGGACTGGAATTTCATGGGTCGTGAAGCGAAGCTGTGGTAAGGGGTTGACGCCGGTCGCTGACCTGTGGGTTACACATGGCGTGCCGGTGACGTGTGGAAGGCGTGTGATGATAAAGCTTTGAGCTGTCAATACCCGGCCAGTTTTGGGGATACCTGGCCGGTTTTTACCTGGTGTTCTTGTGTGAGGGCATATCCGTAAGGCGTTTCACAGTTTGGTTGGGAAAATGGAAACGCAGCGGCGTAATTGTTTCCGCGTCGTAAGCGTTGAATCACAGACACTGCTGTGGAAAGGGTCGGCGGTGTCGCCAATGTCCGTCTCCAGTCAAAGTCTCGCCCGCACACGACACCCATGCTTAAAGCCCGGTGCTGTGCGGCTCCGGGCGTCTCGCGCAGTGGCGTGCGGCCCCGCGCGCGCCCGCCTGTCCAGCACAGTCACCGGCGTGACCGGGGCGCCGCGCCGGCAGGCCGGAGGTGCCGCCGCGGGTCGACTCGCTGCCCGGCCAGCCGCCGCCGGGGCTGCGGCCGGACGAGCCGCCGCCGGCCAAGCCGGGCGCCGAGCCGCTCTGGCACATGCAAGGTGGGCGCGGCGGGTCGGCCGGCGCCGGCCGGCCGCCGGACGCGTGACCGGGCGCCGCGGCCGCCGAGCCCGGCCGGCCCGCGGCCCGGCCGATCGCCCGGCCGCGCCTCGGTAGACTCGGCGGCATGCTCGGCACGCGCCGGTAGTGGCGCCCGGCCCGGCGCCGGGCGCGCGCCCCGCGCCGCCGCGCCGGGCCCGGCTACAAACTGGATGTCGCCGTGATGGGGCGTGCCTCGTTCGGTGTCCGTTGCTTGACAATAAAGTGTTGGCTTCTCGCGGTGGAATGTTTGTGTGGCATGGCCGGACCGCCGGCACTCGACGCAGCACGCCGGCGAGTGCTCAGCGAAGATCGCTCACCGACGTGAGCAAGCTGACCGTGTAATGCATCCAACTAACTAAGACATTGCGGCATCGAGTCAACGGTATGTTCTCACTGGTCCGGGCGCTATATGTCGCATAGTGCAGCTCCTTGGTCGTCCCGCCAACCCCTAGACGTTCAGTAGACATCGAGGGTGTCCCTAAAACTGTCGAACTGAAACGGCACGGGGACCGGTGCGTGTGGTGCGAGGCTGTTATGTCGTGTGTTGTGTGTCTGGCTCGGCATGCGTGGTGGCCAAGTGTCCAGACCCAGAAGCTCAGACTCCAGTCCGGACTGACAGACCTAACAGAGCGCGGCAGCGTCGGATGTCGCCGCGCCGTACCAGGTCGATCGAGCGGCCGCGTGTGACCATGGGCCGGCCGCTGTCTCCCTCCGCGGCTCGGCGCAGCTGTACCGCGCGCGTCGCCGCAGCGCCGTCGGAGCCGCCGCGTCCGTACACCGTTGTGCCCTCTGTCGGCAGCCGCTGCAGACGGCGTCCGCGCGGCCGGCCGCGGGGCGGCGCCGCCGGCGGCCGCGCGCCGCGAGCCGGCCGGCGGCGAGGCGCAGCGCGGCGTGATGACCCAGCTGCGCGAGGCGGTGCGCCGCGGCCGCGAGCGCAGCGAGGAGCGCTGGCGCGAGCTCTCGCCGCGCCGCCAGTGGCGCGACCGCTCCGAGGAACGCTGGCGCAGTGACGACGAAGGCCTGATGGAGCGCGAGCGACGCATGGTGCCCAAGCTGACGTGGTCGAGCCGCGGCGACGGCCCGCCGATGGCCGCCAGCACGCACGACAGAGCGACTGGCGGGCCAGCGCCAGCTGGCCGCGCCGCAAAGGCACCCGTGCTGACGCCCATCTCGCCCGCGCGAGGTCAACACAGGACTACAGCGCCGGCTCCATCACCAGCATCGACTCGCACCCGTCCGAGGGCGCGTCCCACCCGTCCGGTTTCACCAGCATCGACTCCGCCCTGGACCGCACCGTCGAGCAGGTCATCACCCGGCATCGAGAAGTCGGCGCAGCGCGCGCGCGGGCCGCGAGCGCGCGCCGCGCCGCGTCCACCGGCGAGCAGGTCTGCAAGTTTGGCCGCTTCACGGTGGCCAAGGTGTCGCGCGACTCGAGCGGCCAGGACAAGGCGATCAAGATCTCGGGCCGCGTGAGCGAGGTGCGCGGTGGCGCGCTGTCGACCGAGCGCCGACTCTTCCGGCGCTCGCGGCCCAAGCCGCGCTCGCGCGACGACGCCTGCGACAACAGCTCGCCGACCGACGACGAGCGCCGACACGCCTACTCCGACTCCGAGTCCAAGGCGTCGCGGCGCGCGCGGCGCGGGCCGGTCATGCGCCGCCAGAAGTCAGCCGACGAGTGCGACGGCGCGGCGGCCGGCCGGGGCCGCGGCCGCGCGCTGCTGGCCGCCGACGGCGCCGTCCACCGCGCCGACAGCTTTGAGGGCCACGAGGAGACGGTCAAGACGATCGTGGCGGCCGTGCAGGAGTCGCGCACCTCGCGGCGGCGCAAGAAGTGATGGTTCTGCGCCGAGTTCGTCCTCTCCAGCCCGCGCGCGGCGCGGCGGCCCGGCCGGCGGCCGGCCTCCGTGCCGCGCGCTGAGGCGGGCGACGGCGAATCTCGGCGGCCAGAGCCCCACTGAGGCGGCCGGGCCGGCGCCTGGCCGCGGCTGCCCCGCCGCCGCCGGCCGGCACGAGTTCGGCGCTCCCAATACCCTCCACTGAGGCCCGGCGGCGACGGCCAGTCGCCGCTGCGGCACCCCTGACCACGCCAGGGCGACACTAGGCGGCCAGCCTTCCGGGCGGCCGGACAGTTTCAGCATTTATCTGCCAAGTTCTCTCCAAGACCCGATGGTGGGCCGCACTGAGGCCGAGCGTGGAGCGCGCTGGTTCTGCCGCTACGCCCCGCCCAGGCGGGGTCACCAACGGCCCAGGAGGACCGGCGGAAGCTTACGTGGGTCCCCGCGCCATCCTGCTCACCTACTTGTAGTGACTTCTAGTACAATGTGGCGCGCCAGCTCGGTCGCGCGGAGCCCACCGACCAGCCTGAGGGCGACCCCCACCGGAGGGCCGTCCTCTCGCGCCGATGTCTTCACAGGGTATTTCTGATCGTTGCTCTTCTGCCCCTGTTGCTGTCTTTATGAGTGGCTGCCGGGCCGGTGCGTGGCGCCGCCAGTTTTCTCTCACGTTCTCGTTGTAGTGGAGTACCTGCATGGACGCGTGACCGGACTGCGTGCTGGAGCGGCTTCTGTGGACGCTCTGAGCCGTGTTGTGCTGCGGTGTGACTACGCGTAAGTTGGGAGCGTGTCCGAGCCCAGGTGATGTACCGACCCTACTGGCCAGGAGTTGCCTCTTGTGGCCAGACCTGGGCTGGCTAGCTGCTGGGGGAGTCATCGCTAGGAGCCACCTCTGGTCCGTGCGCCTGCAGCTAGAGCGGGGACTGGTGTTGACCGTGACCACATCGAGGAGCGAGCGGCGCGCGTGACCATGAGGCGTCGGAGCCGCTCGCTGGTCCAGCTCGGCTCCAGTGAGTTGCGCTGGCTGGCTGCGCTCGGGCCGGGCGCGGATCGCCGTCACGACTCACGACCGTCGATGCAGCAGCTACCGCGCCGCGGGCCCGGCTGCCAGCCAGCGCTGCCTCGCGGAGCGGCGCTGGTCTGCCAGATCGAGCCCGTGCACTGCAGCGTACCCGCCGCGCTCGTCCCTCAGATCGCCGACGACAATCAGGCCAGTCCGTTTGGGACTCCCCTCCGTGCTGTGGCCGGCCCGGAGCGGGCTGGGCAGATGTGCGTCACCATCCGCCGCCACCCACGGCGCGGGGGCCGGGAACCGCGTCCGTGGCCGGCCGTCGGCCTGGCGCCCGCTGGTCAAGTCCGCTCCGCCTCGGCGCCCGGGCGGCGCTGAGGCCGGCTCGACCCGGCGTCAGCTCCAGCGCGGCCGTCAGTTCCAGCGCCGCCGCCTCGGCGCCCGGGCGACGCTGAGGCCGCTCGGCCCGGCGTCAGCTCCAGCGCGGGCCGTCAGCTCCAGCGCCGCCGCTCGGTCCGCGCCCGTCGTGTCGGTATGATCGGTGCAGGTTGAGGGAGGGGCGGGCGCCGGCAGGGTCCACGGTCCAGCTGCCCATTGTGTGCAAATGACCCCGGGCAAGGCCGCCGCGGGAGGGCGTGGGGTAGGGGGGAGGGGTAGACGCTTCAGCGACCAACTAGCCGTGCGCCGAGGCTAGACGAACGAATCCGGGTTTTGATCGAATCTGCGTTTGTTGTTAGTCGTTTGACTTGGCTTCCAGACAAATACAAAGCCGATACGAATGCGACTGTCTTGGCGCGACCCTGTGCTCCAGATTCCCGCTGTTCACGGACTTGTGACACTGAATGGATCTAGGGCGCGACAATCTGGCTGAAAAGGCGCATGCTCCGTGCCCGTATGCATGTCGACGACACACTCCGTGGACCTCGTGCAACACACTCGGCGTCAGTCTGCCGCACCGCGATATCGCGTGCGCCACAAAAGCAGAGCTGTCAGCAGTGTGTTCGGAACGTGTGCGCGCGCGTGTCACCAGGTGACGGGCGTCACCCGAGATACCACGTGACCGGATGCGAACGGCGGGCGGTGCCAGAGATTTTGAGCTAGAGTTGTCCACTGCGACTGCATACCCATCGGGCTGTAACTGAAGTACGCTTCATTGCCGTGTCATTGGCCGATACAGAGGGCTCGGCTGCGCTGCCTGGTCGAGACGGGCGTAACGGAGCTGGCTGGGCCGCCCCACTCCAGCTGACTGTGAAGCGGGGCACGCGAGGCAGCCGGGCCCAGCGGCCCTGACCGTGCTCACGCCGACGGCACGGGCGGCCGCGCCCGCCGGAAACCGGGCCGCCCGCGCTGGCGAGGGGGGCGGCGGCGGTGCGGCGAGCACCGCTCAGTGCGGTGTCAGGTGCCGAGCGGCGGGCGCGCCCCGGACGGCGCCAGCAGTAGCCGGGCTCGTGTCGACACGGACTCAGCGGTTCAGCGACGCCATCAACCCAGGTCCAGAGAACATCTCGCCTAGAATTCGTGCTGTTTGGGTCAGTGAACACCCAGTGTAGGCCAGTGAAGACCCAGTGTAGGCCAGTGAAGACCCAGTGTAGGCCAGTGAAGACCCAGTGTAGGCCAGTGAAGACCCAGTGTAGGCTAGTGAAGACCCGGTGCATGCCAGTGAAGACTCGATGGAGACCAGTGAACTGCTCAGCCGAGGTCAGTGAAGATCAGGCGTGGGCCACCGACGCCAGTCGGACGTCCGTGTGAACTGGGGGGCAGTGTAACGGAAGCCACGCTTAGGCCGGGAAGGATAGAGAGAACTGTGTGGGACTAATAAGGACACGGCCAACTTACGCGATGTCTCACGCTAGGTCGGTGAGGAGTGAGCCTAGTCCAGCGACAATGGGTCCTGGCTCGGTGATGAATGGTCCCAGGACCGCGACGGACTGGTCTAGGTCAGGGTTGGCAAGCCCTAAGCCGGCCACGGCCAGTCCTAGGTCCGCGAAGCCCAACCCCAGGTCAGCGGCGACCGCTCCTGGGTCGATGACGTCTGTGCCTCGGCCGGCGACGACCGCCCCCGGGTCAGCGGCGACTGTTCCCCGGTCAGCGACCGCCGGACCTAAGTCGGCGAGACCCTTGCGGTTCGCCGCCGGCAGACGTTCGGCGCGGCGGAGCCCGGGAAGTCCGCACCAGCCGCCGGCGCAACGCGCCGCCGCACAGGCCGGGTGAGTGCCCGGCCGGCCCAAGCCAGCCGTGGCGTGTGAATCGCGACGCTTTCTGGTCAGGCTTGGAAGCCGGCAAGTCCGCTAACAGCTGACTTCAGAGCTCAGCAAACGGTGTGGCGTGACTGTCACGGTTGACGCTGTGCTCTGGTCCATTGCAAACACTGAACACTCCCGGAATGCAACGCGCGTTTGCCATCGAGTGTTCGCACCCCATTGCCGCTTGCACCGCGTGCTGGTGCGCGTGCAGGGTTGCAGATAGCAGAAATGCAAACGGGACTGACCTAAATGTGAATGTGAAAGCGAGCCGCTCATTACAGCTCAATTCGTGCAACTGATCGGTACATTGTGGGTCACTGTTTGCAATGCATGGCAGGCGTCACTGACGCTTCAGTCACTGTCAATGTTGCTGCCGAATGATACCGAAGTAACGTGATGCTTTATGCGGGTACATGCAGCCGATAGATACGTATATTATACACATGCGTGCTGTGTTGTTACCAATATCAGTTCCTCGGCTTGAAGATGTGATGATCGGTAAGGGGATCTGCGTCAATGCGAGTTACGCCGCCAGCTAGGTGTCTTTTATATACCTTAACAACGTTTTCATATTATTATTGACAAACGCGAAATGTCTCTGGAGCTCTAAATATGAACTTGTTGGACACCACGTAATTACTTAAGCCGTTAACGGTATTCGAGAATGTACCTGCGACAACATACAAGTTCAACTGAAATATCCGTGCAGGCAAAATAGGCATACGCCTCCAAAATACATCACACCATTAAAGCGCAATGCGGCCCTGAGGCCAAGTCGCAGTTTTGAGACCAATTTCTCGCCCCACCTAAAGATGTGTCGGAACGCGTGCACCATCGTTTTTTGTAGCCCGTGGTGGTGTGTTGTCCAACCCGTGAAGTCTAAGACGCAGTCCGCCCGTGCTGGCGACGGTGTCGCAGCTATGTTCTACTGGCAGTAACCATTATGCAAGCGCTGGCATGAAAATGCAATTAAAACTCTGCGTATTTTAGATTTCGCGCGATTTTTAGCCATCAGTTTTAGCGTCGGCAGCAACGAACAGGATTTGGTTAGCTTTGGGACGGTACCGACTTTTGTTCGTCGTCGCTTTGGGACGGTACCGACCTTTGTTCGTTGTCGCTTTGGGACTGTACCGACCTTTGTTCGTCGTCAAACTGGCTCTTTCTTGACCGTCATGTTAGCTCGATTTCATTCCCTGCTTTGTTCAGATGTATCGAAACGTTGCGACGGTCAGCATCCCCCAAGCGTCGGCACCACAACGCGGCCGGGAAATCCAACCCGGCCGGCTCGGTGTCCCAGCCGGCGTCACATACGGGGCCATCACGGCCGACTTGGTCCGAACCAGACCGGGCCCCAGTCACACAGCTCTAACGTAGACACAGTCACGGCCAGCGCCACGGACCGGGCTATCATGGCCGACTCGGTCCGAGTCAGACCTGAGCCAGGTTTGACTCTTTAAAAACCTCTCACCTTTACGTTGCTGACAGTCACGCAGCTTCGCGCGAAGTGCAAGGTGTGCGCAGTAGGTACGGACCAACAATACACACTGAGCTGAACAACACGCCAATGGTCATGTTCTATGATGTGAGTGCATTTGAATTATGGCGTGCGCAGTACGCGCGCAGATATCAGGCTGTGGTCAGCTTCAAGCGCACCTAGCCTCGGACCGCACCCTTCGGCTGGCATGCCTGCAAATTTCAACGAATTGTACCACCGAGTGCAAGTGCACGGAATTTGGGAGGCACCAATGAGAGAATGCGCTTGCTTCGGCTGCTGCCATTGGCTTGTCAAAGCCAACAGAAATTTGAGTCGTGGTGGAAGACAAATCCAAACAAATGCGTCCGGGAAGGGGGAGTCAAGACGCCGCGCGGACGGCCAGCGCGAGTTTCCCATAAAATGATATTGTTAGTCAAAGATGCTCGGCGAAGCGGTAGCTCCGTTATGAACGCGGCCATTGTGGCGCCCTGGACGCCCGCTGATAGTGTGAACCTGCACCTGATGCGAGTGGCCGAGTGCCGTTACAACACTGCCATGTGGCGCGGTATAGGCTTGCATTCCCTCTCCTTTTTTTGCTCACCCCAATGCTGTTCTCTTCCGTCCTGCCTTTTCGGGATGCCTGGCCGTGAAGGGAGGCGTACATCTTCCGGGGACGGCGGCCATGGCCAGGCGCTGGTGGCTCTTGATGGCCTTCGCGGTCCTGGACAGACAAGCACGGAGGGGTTGCGGACAAAAGGACGTGTGGGCACATTGTGGCAAAAGTTTGCAAGGAAATGTTCGTATGGTATGAAGTACCCATGCAGAATGTTCTTATGGTATAAAGTGCGTATGTAACACGTTCGTATGGTATAAAGTACGTATGCAAAATTTTTGCATTGACAAAATTTCACCACAACAAAAGTCCATGGAAAAAATTGTGTACAAACGTACCTACGCAATTGTTCGCAGGCAATTACTCTTTCGCAAAGGTTGGTGACGAATAGAGTTCCTTTCATGAAAGCACGTGCTCAAAGTACGTGCGCATTGATGATAAAGTAGCACGTTCGGGTGAGAATTACCTCTATGAAAAGTGTTCCTGGACAACTTGATCATCATGGTATTAAATCATGCATCTTAAATATACATAATTTCTAGCTCTGATCGCCGGACGGCGTGGTAGCCCAGGACAGTGTTCGGTCGGGGGTAATCAAGGTCCTAATCAAAGCGGTTGCATCTTTCTCTTGGACTCCGTTTGCCTGTATATAACCAACCATACATCGGGCGTCGCTCGCGCCTCTGCCCGCCGCATTCCACAAGCGAGCTGACTCCCGCCGTGGCCGTCAGCTGGTGTCAGTGGCGCACTCAGGAGGCGTCAGGCGGGGCGTCGACAGAGGCGTCATCAGGGTGAGGGATAGAGGGGGAAAGCAACAACACGGGAATGGTCTGCGGTAATCATGTGTTTCAAATGTTGTTTTATTAACTTCCGATCGCTTCCATTCTCGGGGCATTTTGTACTAATCTCATTTATTCGAGCTCATTTGCTGACCGCCGATGTTCGTTTAATTAAGTTCGCGACATGAAAAATTGCAGTTTTCCAACCTATCATACAGCTTAAAAGCTAGTCATGCTATTTGAACTTACCTATACAGTTGTTACTCTCCACTGCCATCTACTGTGGGGAGTATCCACCCTCCATGTTCCTCCACTATATCCGTTTTCGGTCGCCGGGATATGGTAACCCGTTCTTTGTCAGGCGACCTCCATCCCGGAGAAGTATTTGCATATGATCTTTGTGTACTTACATGCTGCATCAAGATACGAAGTTGTGCGCACGGGCTTTTGTCGTTCGAAGTTTTTCGGGCACTAAAGTACAAACATATGTGTATTAACAATTGCGAGTAGCCTTTCGGATGCAAACTTTTGTACATACGAATATTTTCGTTTGAATTTGTTTCCGATTGGCAATTGACAACGCGAGCATTGCCCTATACAATCCTCTTTACCAGCTTTAGACGTCACGAACTTGTTAGGCCTCGGTCTGATTATAGGCCTTTTTCTCAAGAACTTGGGACAAACAAAATGTATGCTGTAAGGAGTTGTCTCGCGAACTTTCAGACACACTGCGTCGGCAACCCACAGGGAGGAGTGTGACCTTTTGGGATATTCTTGGCCGAACTGCAGACCACTTTAACGTACCTGAAGTCTAAGCATCTCAAAAGCCGCTTGGCCACGTCGGTTCTTCGGGCAGATTACGTTTGACGGATAACGCTGACGGAGTAAGCCTGGCGGAATACAGCGCCTTGGTTGATGCCAGTAGTTCAACGCGTTGCCGTCACAGGGCGCCGAACCCCCGATTTACCCGAGCTAATTTTGTTTTAAATCCTTGCTGCCTCTGGGATTCTTAGCTGCCAAAAGAAGTTAAAGGGAACTTTTCACATTTGAAGATATTGAAGCACGCATCAGATATGATGAAAACAAACTCGCTTTTCGTATACTTTTTTAGTTGAAGAGACTGCTCTAGACAGCAACAACTCTCTTGTAGTGATTACGCTCCTCAGTGTGTCATGTTTTGATTACGTCATGGTACCTTGCACAGCATTGATTAGGAACCAATTAACTACCGTTATATCTGGAAATCCCGCTCGCGAACGCCAGATATGAATGTCTCGGCAATTACATTTTTCTTGGCCTTGATCGCCACATGGCATATAGAATGGCAGGATTCGAATGGCGTTGCTATGACGTTATGAATGTCAGGGTGACTTTGAAATACTCCTCCCGATATACGTTTTTCTGTTTTCGCGGGCGTGTAGTTCAGAAACGTGTGAACAGCACCGAAAGGTCTTCAAGATGGTTATTTCGGCTCAAAGCCCCAAATAAATGTGGACCTCTCTCTTTAAACAGAAATCAAAATAGCGGACGTGGAAACGTGACCAAAATGACAGTAAGGACCGGTAGACGTTAGGATTGGCCAACAATTGCTTACGCATTGGCCGTACCTCAACGTGTTTTTGTTTCGAACATCAAGGTCCAATACGTTCGGATTGGTATCGTGTGTTGGTAGCTTCCTTACTTTCAAGTATTGCAAAATGTTTGACATATTGCTATTATCATCAGATTCTTAATGATGAATTGACCACAAGTTGTTCGTGATCGCGTAAAAAGACAAAAGGGTTTACGTTACCTTAAACGTTGCGATTCAACCGCTGATCCTCTTCAAACGGTGCGCGTTTTGCTACAGATAGTTGAGAAGTTGTCTGGCAGGTTTAAAAGTTTGTCTCTTAGGGAAGAGCAATGCCAGATAATAATGTCGCGGCGTGGCGCGTGACCGGGCCTAATGTTTTTGTAGTGTCATGGTCCGTGGCGGGGCTTAATGTTTTCGTGTCATTTGATAGCTCTTGCAACAGTGCCACGATACATGAATGTTCCGCTGTTTGTGCCCGATGATTTTGAACACTAGCCCTATGAAAATTGTTTCCCCCTCGCCCTAAGAGGGGAGCCTCAAAGGGACATCATCAGGACATCAAAGGGACATAAAAGAAAGACATCTAAAGAATTTTTAAGATGAGTGCTAGTGTCTAGTGGACATCGACACATGTCACATTTCATCCCAGGATTTAATGTCTGAGGGCTATTCCTCCATCGGTCTGTGCGGTTTATAAAAAACTGAGCATGCAACATCAGTGGAGAAAATGGCGTTACGAAGCACTCCAAAGTGTGAAGCATGTGTCTTAAACGTTTTGGCATATGACCTTTCAAGTGTCAAATCCCATCACAAAGGTCAAAGTTTGTTATCGCTTGACCTTGAGTGACCTGACGTTCCAAGGCCACCAGAATGGTCGTAATACTATTCAGAGTGGCGTAAATAAGGATAGTAGTTTAAAAACTCTTTGGAGTGCATTTTTGGGTGAAAATTAAGACTGTTTATCATTTACGACCAAAATGTCACTGACGATACATCAGGGTGGTGCCATGGATAATGAGCTGTAAGGTAAGAAATTTCATTCTTCACAGCATGTGTAAATCGGACGAAAATGGACTAATATATTCTCAAGTAATACGCGTCATATATTTGATATTTGATGTGTTCAAATTAGCGACAATGTGCTTAAAACCGTCCAGAAGTTGTTCTGTGCTACCCATGGGGGGGAGGCTGTGAGGCAGACCCTGCTAGAACCACGGGCAACACGCGGCAGTGGTTTTACGTGTAGGGTTTCTACTTGAATTGCCGTGCCACTGTGGCTGTTACACGTTTCCTGAAATATATCCCCTGCCACTGCATGGTATGTCGGCACATGCCGGATTGGGCTCCGGTACAAAAGGCCGAAGGGCAAACGAAGAGCTACGAACAAGAAGTGAAATGCAAGAAGCCAAACGGCAAGCGGTCGAACGGGATAAACACCAAATGCACAAAGTCAACAGAGAAAAGTGCCCAAATCACTTTAAGTCAAACGGCTGAAGTTCAAAAGGATAAAAGTTAAGAGCAAAGCTCAAAACAGAAAAAAACTTCCAAGGTGATGAAAGCAAAATCGATAAAAGTTGAAAATGCAAAAATTCAAAAAGATAAATCCAAGTACAAAGAGGCAAATACACACGAAGCCGAAAGGAATAGAAAAAAATCACATGAAGCCCGGTTTCCACCAAGTTTTCCGGCCCCGAAAACCGGGCAGTTTGACCGGGACGGAAAATTGAAATTGTCATAGGATGTGCAGAAAGTATCTATATTTGTTAAACCGTAATCTCTGTATGGGTCCTGGCAGCACCGGTCCGGAAATTCACAACAACACGTGACGATAGTTTGAATGTACCTTTCGAAATAAACTTCTCAAAGACGATGCTTTCATGCTCAGGTTTTGTTGTAGAAATGTTGCAGAAGGTGTCGTTTAGAAAATATGATAGGGGTATCTATATGTGTCATACAGGTGGTGCGTTGTCTTCGCCGTTAGTTAAGTAGTACAGGTAGTACAGAGAGGCAGCGAGACAGCGAGACGGCGGGACAAAGGAAAAGAGAGACAGAACAAGTCAGAGAGAGACAGGGACAGAGAGACAGAGTAAGTCAGAGAGAGAGAGAGAGGAGAGAGAGAGAGAGAGAGAGAGACAGAGACAGAGACAGAGAGACAGAGAGAGAGACAGAGAGAGGGAGAGACAGAGACAGAGACAGACAGAGAATCGGGGTGACGGTTAAACAATGATATATCATCTGTACCCCTGCTGGCATGTCAGCGTGTCCCACTGCACTACGCGCCAATGACGGCGACCCCGCTCCGCACCCATCGTTAACTGCAGCGGAATGTAATTGGGCTGAACTTGCGTGGCGCTAAATCGGATCACGTGATGGACTCGCGCTTCACGGGTGTAACCGAGTGAAGCTCCGGGGTCGCCCTGTACTTCAGTACTCCGGGGCCGCCCCGGTGCTTTAGCCTCCGGGCCACCCCGGTATTTCAGTACTTCCGGTGCCACCGCGGTTGCTTCAGCACTCCGGGGCCACCCCGGTGCTTCAGTGGCTCCGGGGCCACCCCGGTGCTTAAGCGCTCCGGGGCCGCCCCGAGGCTTCACCACTCCGGGGGCACTCTGGGGCCATTTTCGGTGCTTCAGTACTCCGGGGCCACCTCGGTGCTTCAGCACTCCGGGGGCACCGCGGTGCTTCAGCACTCCGGGGCCACCGCGGTGCTTCAGCAGTTCTCGCTCTGCACTGCCACATGTAAACCCATTCGTTGTGCTGAGAAGAAAACAGGCAGTGTCAGCCCAAACCAGCATAACCGGTCATACAGGCCAGTCAGTGATTGATCCCAAAGCAAACCAGTAAAGCCCATGTACGTCTTTTAATGTTTTAAATGCATTCAATGCTGTGCCTGTGTTTCAATTCTGCGATGTTTCGCACCCGCGTGGTTTTGCATTTAATCAGAAGCGAGCATCCATATTTACCTCCGCCAAGACAAAGTGGAAGCATTCCGAACGCCCTCGGTTCCTTACAAGCGCGTCGCCGCTCCTCACTCTGTCATCGAACGGACGTGACGCGCGCCGCCAGCGGGACGGCGACCGCGGCTGACCGGGGCGGGGTCGGCAGGTCGCGGCCGCCGGAACCGGACGCCTGCACGGGGCACGCGCCCCCCCGAGGGCGCGCAGGACCAGCCGCAGGGGACGGACCGGCGCCGGCTCAAGCTGACCGTCGTCGGCGACGGCACCGTCGGCAAGACGTGCCTGCTGCACGCCTTCGTCAACGGCACCTGTCCGGACGAGGCCGAGTACATCCCGACCGTGTGAGCCCCTGTCCGGATGTGGCCGGGTACATCCCGACCGTGTGAGCTCCTGTCTGGACGAGGCCGAGTACATCCCGACCATGTGAGCCCCTGTCCGGACGAGGCCGAGTACATCCCGGCCGTGTGAGCCCCTGTCCGGATGAGGTACTGAGTACATCCCGGCCGCGTGAGCTCCTGTCCGGATGAGGTACTGAGTACATCCCGGCCGTGTGAGCCCCTGTCCGGATGAGGTACTGAGTACATCCCGGCCGTGTGAGCCTCTGTCCGGATGTGGCCGAGTACATCCCGACCGTGTGAGCCCCTGTTTGGACGAGGCCGAGTACATCCCGACCGTGTGAGCCGCTGCCAGGGCACCGCGAGCCGCACGCGCCGTCGACGGTAGTTGAGTGGGATCCATCCTTTTTTTTTAGGTTTGGTTTCGTTAAAATAATATAACGTCACTCGCGCATAGTTTGTTGTAGCTCATTTCTACTCATGCACGCTTCCTGCCGTTTGCCGCGTTTGCCCTCCGCGCAGCTCATGCCATAATTTCCTGCTGACATGTGTGGATTGCAGTGTCGTCTTCCTCGCTGTTACTTCGCCCCACGCCGTCAGTTATAACGAGCCGTCCGGAAATGGGGGAGGAGGTTTTGATGGGGTGTAACTTAAAGTTTCTTGAACAGCGAAACATTGCGCTCATTTGTGGTTTAAAATCATGCTTGAGCCTTGAAACCATTTTTGGCCACGTAACCAGGCTAACGTGGCTCTCGTCCAGCTTAGCCAGCACGTGATCACCAGGGAGGGGAAGGTTGGAAATAGCCAAATGCGTACCGTAATTTATGGAAGGTCCTATTCGGCATATGGCGCGGCGTCTTACAACGGCACTGTCCGTGAACTGTGTGCGGTTTGGCTGATGACCTGATGACCTGATGTGCGGTTCAGCTGATGACCTAATATGCGGTTCGACTGATGACCTGATGACCTGATGTGCGGTTCAGCTGATGACCTAACATGCGGTTCGACTGATGACCTCATGACCTGACGTGCGGTTCAGCTGATGACCTGATATGCGGTTTGGCTGATGACCTCATGACCTGACGTGCGGTTCAGCTGATGACATAATGTGCGGTTCAGCTGATGACATGATGTGCGGCTCGGCTGATGACGCTGATGACCTGATGACCGTGCCGGGCCGACCCTCGCCGCAGCTTCGACAACTCATCGCTGGACTGGAGCGTCGGAGAGACGCCGGTGCAGCTCAGCCTGTGGGACACGGCCGGCCAGGAAGAGTACGGCCGACTTCGCCGGCTCATCTACCCGGCGGTGAGCTGCCGCAGCGCCCTGCCGCCACCGCTTGAGCGCCACCCTCGGCCGAGGCCAGGGAGGGGGGGGGGGATCTGTCACGTCACCTCGGCCGCGGTCAGGGGAATCTGTCACGTCACCTCGGCCGCGGTCAGGGAAGTCTGTCACGTCACCTCGGCCGTGGTCAGGGAAGTCTGTCACGTCACCTCGGCCGTGGTCAGGGAAGTCTGTCACGTCACCTCGGCCGCGGTCAGGGGAGTCTGTCACGTCACCTCGGCCGTGGTCAGGGGAGTCTGTCACGTCACCTCGGCCGCGGTCAGGGGAGTCTGTCACGTCACCTCGGCCGTGGTCAGGGGAGTCTGTCACGTCACCTCGGCCGTGGTCGGGGGAGTCTGTCACGTCACCTCGGCCGTGGTCAGGGGAGTCTGTCACATTACCGGCCGATGGCTTGTTCAACATCTCACTATCATTTGAGCAGCTGGCGACGGATCTTTGGATGTACCTGCGCTGTGATAAATTGATTAGCCCTTGCGTTGCAGTGATGATGACGCAATTTCAGCACCACGACGCCGGTGGCGTTTCATGCCATACTTTGTTGGCTGTTTTTTATGGAACCTTGTGCTGTACCCGCTGTTTGGCAGTGCAGCGTGCGGGGAGGGGGAAAAGTACAGCGAACTTCTACCGGCCATGGACCTATGATGCATTCATGTTTTTATGACAATCTATTCTGTTCGCTATCTAGGCGATGGTGACCGTGCTAATGATCAAAACAACTCTTTCGTGCCCAAGGTAATGCATATAGCTTTGGATTTCAGACAGACATATTTGTTCTATGTTACGCTGTCGACAACGTCAACTCCTTCAAGAACATCAGCTCCCTGTGGTGGCCAGAGCTTCGTCATGACTGCCCCAATACTCCCATAGTGCTCGTCGGTGAGTACCGGTATGGAGCATACCCTCCTTGAACGGACCCTACTGCATGCCTCTACACGGGTCCTGCTACGGGCCTCCTCACACCGACCGTTCCTGCTCGCACCGACCCTGTCACGGGCCTCCTCACGCTGCCCCTGCCCCAGACCTGCTACTTGCACGACCTGCACGCGGGCTACGTGTCAACACACTTGCTTTCTGTTCTTTCCTATTATTATTGTTTTGACTTGTCAGGAAGCCCGGACATTCAAGGTTGTAAGCAGTCAGGCTATCCCTCCAGATGTCTTGATTTGCTCATATGTTTATCTAGCTTTCGTAATGAATGCACGTGTTTATTACGGCCGCAGTGCCGGCAGCCCATGCCATAGAAATCTTGCAGAGCTCCAGAGTAAAACACGGATGCATGAAAACAGCCAGACCCGCCACAGATTAGTCCACCAGATGGCAGCACCAGTCACCCGTCGGTCCCACCGCAGGCACCAAGACGGACGTGCGCCACGCCGCGCCGGGATCGGCGCCCGCTGGCGTCAGCAGCGCGCAGGGCCGCCGCCTGCGCGCCAGACTGGGCGCCGCCGGCTTCCTCGAGTGCTCGGCCCGGGCGTGCCAGGGCGTGCGCGAGGTGTTTGACGTGGCCGCCCGGTGCGGCCTGCGCGGGACGGCGCGGCGCCGCTGGTTGTCAGCTGCTCTGAGCAGCCAGGCGGGACGGTGCAGGCCGGGTCCTGCCCCGCCGGCCGGCCGGGGCGGTGCAGGTGGTGCAGGCGCAGCGACCGTGAGGACGGGACAGGGGCCGTCCCGCCCAGTTGGCAGGGCGGGACCCGCGCGGTTGGTGCACACGCAATGAGCGTGAGGGGACGGCCAGGGATGGATAGTTACGTGGACAAGGATGCAGACTGGCCGGGTGACACATGCGATGCATGTTGCCACGTGTGTTGGGGAGCGATACCGAAGGCTGTCCATCGATATCTCGATGTCATTCAAGACCACAAGGGGAAGCAGGTGTAAAACGAATAATGAGGGTGCTAGATACACGAGGATAGTCAGAATATAGCACAACATGCAACTTTGGCTTCCCCGAAAACTTTAAAGAAAGCCGTTTGCTTAAATGTAACTTAAAGTACGGCAATCGGTGCACGTGGTTTTCTACAACGTTGTACGTTATATTGTATGTATATGTATCATATGTTATTTGATTTAGTGGTGTATAACGTTTACATGATATATTCTACACAGAAACCAAAATGACGGTGAGGGAATGCCGCAATTTATTTTCGGACATGAGAAAGGAGCTTTCCAGTGATGCCTTTTCCTGGAATGAAGACCCAGCCGAGTCGCTAGTGTTCTGGTGGCTTGGACATCCCCATGCCGAGTTGCCAAACGATCGCGGATGTTTTGCGTCAGTGACAGGCATTTATGTATGAACTATTTCTCCCACATCAGAAGACGAGCCGTGGCCATACTCCCGGCTCTGAAATGTGATAGCCAATCAGCAGCCACACCTGGTATTTCAGGGCGGCCCTGTGCTGTTTACCCCTGGGCTAAGCGTGATATCCGCCACCGCATGTTTCTACTTCCTGCCCTGACACAATGAATGTTGTGGTACATTATGCTAAGAAATGAGTGCTGTGGCTGGTTGTGGCCAACGGCATGACATATTTTTGATTCATCAACGATCGTTGAAAGCTCGTTTCTTAAAAGCAGGTTGGAGTGGCTGCTGGCAAACATGCGCGATATGATGTCACCAGCACATCACTGACGCTGCTGAGATGCGTTACGTCCGTACCGAATCGCTTCTGCTGACACACGTGAAACGGGCGCGTTTCTGGTGTGTCCCATCTGTGCATTAGCGGGTGTACGCCTATTATCACCCAAGAATATACCCTCTAGTCATCATGGCGCCGTCGTGTTTTCCTATCGCCGAATTTCCCCGGGGGCTTTGATGCGTCGCCACGAAGATCACGCGTTTAGATGTTTTCTTTCCCTTAGATGCATATGGGGAAGTCAGGAAATGTTTTCGTAATGTAGTGTACGATATATATATATAGTGTGATACCATACTTTTGTGCAACATGCTCTTCTTTAATTCTCGATTTTCCGTGTTCGCATTGATTCTTTCATCGTTCCTGGCGGTTTTACCTGCGATCTACCTTTTTCCAGCAACATAGTTACCGTAATTCACTGAGTTCATGTTCTTCCTTCTTTATTCAGCATTATGCAGAAAAATTGGGGTATGTCTCAATCCATGATACCTATCTTGGACGGCACATTGCAATCATCGATATTTTAATACATATATATATATATATATATATATATATATATATATATATATATATATATATGTGTGTGTGTGTGTGTGTGTGTGTGTGTGTGTGTGTGTGTGTGTGTGTGTGTGTGTGTGTGTGTGTGTGTGTGTGTGTGTGTGTGTGTGTGTGTGTGTGTGTGTTGTGTGTGTGTGTGTGTGTGTATGTGTGTGTGCGTGTTGTGTCATATCACAATAATGCATGTATTTTTTATGACATGCATGGCGATTTCCGCCTGCACGTAAAATCATTGGAGACAAGAGTCCGCCGGAAGTCTTTGATGATGACCGAGATGGGATGCATGCGATCGAGACGCATGCCGAGCAGGACCTACGGCCTTCGCGGACCTACGGGCCGATCATGCAGGCGATCAAACTGCACGTTTGCCTGCGTCTTCCATGCCTTCCTGACACGTGTCATTAGGAAAAACGCTTCACTACAGCACTTTTGTTTGTTTCCTGTCGAGCTCTGTTTGCCAAAAGTTGTTCCTCCGCCACTTTTCAATACCAACATTTCGTTGCGGTTTTATGGCACACGAGCGCCATGTTTCATGGACACATGAGCGCATGAGCGCTGCCGTCAGCTGTTATTGAATGACGTCAGTAAAACGAACTTTTGCAATTGGCACAGCGGGCGGCTATGGCTAGTTACCGAGAAGCGCATTGGTTGAAGTTTGAACCAGTGCGTCACTATAGCCATGTGGTACTCCGTTCCACTAATCTAAAATGCGCTTCGAAAAGAGCCACTGTAGTAAACGCCATAGCGCAGAAATCAAAGTACAACCTTTTGTTGAATTCGCGGGATAAAAGCTTCATGCTCGCATCTACATACAAACATGTTGACAAATAAGTCTGTTGCAAACATTACAGAACACACATGTTGGAAAAAGTAAAGCATATGAAGCGTTATTACTTTCATAGCGGTGAGCAGGGAGCTTCAAGTAGACTTATCCTGCAGGAGCGGCTACTTCAAATCGAAGCCTGTGCTATCCAGGAGGATTTCGAGAAAGCCGGTAGTACCGATAAAATCGTACGTGTCTGATCAATAATAAATGAAAAGTGCAAAAAGGTGGCGCGCCCCCTTTAAGGAAGGCTTCCTGGGTTCGTGGCGCCCGCCGCCTTCGGCTGTCATCGCTGCCCAAGTCTTATGCCGAACCACGAGTCAGATGTCCTACGTCAAAGGCCGGGTGCAGTTCCGAGTGACTTACAACATATGCAACCCCCGATCAACAGATCTGATGGGCTTGTTTAATGTATCTGTCAGCAATGGTCAAGTTCTCGTAATTCGGCCAGAGGCGAGGGCAGTTTGGTGGCGAGAGGCTCAGTCAAAGGAAAAGAAGCGGATCGAGCGTAACCCAAACGTTTGAATCTGTCGCTGGTGAGCTGCTTCTTCACAGTAACATCATGAGTGGTCAGCATCCTGCCCGTGAGGTCTTGCTAACGCATGCTTGTCACCACCGAACCCGTCGGCATGATTTTCCGGCACTTGATAACATCACACTGCCAAAGCCACAGATCACTGACGGGCGGCAGTAAGACTCGCCCTGTCCCGTCCCTGTAACCGCCCTTGCGAGCCGCACGGGCCGCCCGTCGTCTGCAGAGGCGCAGGGCGCGCTGGCGCAGCCGGCCAGCGTGGAATTCCCGTCAGCGACGCGGCCGACGGCGGCGAGCGGCGAGTCCAGCTGGGCCCAGCTGCCGCGGAGTGTGCCGGCAGGGAGACGGCGTCGCCGCTGCAGCCGGATCACCAGTGATGGCCGCTGGCTGTGCAGTGATGTGGACAGCGGCGGTGCTGCTGCTGGCGTGCCGCTTCTTGCCGGCGACCGGCCGCATTACATTCCCGCAGAGCGACGGGCCGAAGCTGTGTCAAACGTCGCAGGGCGGCGATGGTGTGTGTGTGTCGCTGCTGTCGCGGCGCTGCTCGCTGTTCACCCGAGTGGAGCAGCTGGTGACGCTGCGGCCGCGCCTCTGCGCCGTCTCCCAGCGCGACGCGCTCGTCTGCTGCCCGCTGGCGGCCGTCGCGCCCGACCGGACAGGCGGAGCGGCGACGCCGCCGCCCAGGTTCGCCACGCCGGGGACAAGGCCCACCAGGCCACCGTCCAGGCCAACTAGGCCGGAGACAAGACCTACCAGACCTCCCAGACCGCAGCCCACCCCCACCAGGCCGGAGACCAGGCCAACTATTCCCACTAAGCCGCCGACGCGCTTCACCAGACCGACGGCGAGCCCTCCCACCGAATCGCCACCAACTCGCTCGCGACCCCCGGCTCGCCCCACCGGACCCAGCCGCGGCCAGGGCGCGCCACCCAACCGGCACGCGCCGATCGGCCTAAGGCCGCGGCCGAGCAACGCACCGTCGCGGGTGGCGCCGACCGCCTCCCCCGGGCGGGTCCGGCCCCACCGGCTACGCGGCTGCGGCATCAGTCGGCCTCTAACAGCCTTCCGCGCCTTCGGCAACTACTTCCAGCGCCCGCCGTCCTTTGCGCGCGTTACGCCCGTCCAACTGGGCGCACAGCCGTGGACAGCGCTGGTCGGCACCGTGGACGAGGCCGGCGTCACCCACTGGCTCTGCGCCGGCGCGCTGCTTACGCCGCGCATCGTGCTGACCAACGCGCACTGCGCCGGCGGCTCGCCCCGCCAGCTGCTGGTCGGGCTGGGCGAGCACGACCTGACGTCCGAGTCGGACGGCACAGCCGGCACGCACCCGGTACTGGCCGTGGAGCGGCACCCTGCCTGGACGCATCCGAGCCGGCGGCACGACCTGGCGCTGCTGCTGCTGGCGCGGCCGGCGGACCAAAGCACGATGATCCAGCCCGTTTGCCTGCCGCCGCCGGACCCGACCGACACAGCCCGGCCGCTCCGACCGCCGCCAGGTGAGCATCGCGCACGGCACACAGACGCGGTATACAGACACGGTATACAGACACGGTATACAGGCACGGTACACGGACACCATACATAGACACGGTATACAGACACGGTGCACAGACACGATGCACAGACACAGTACACAGACACGGTACACAGACGACGTACACAGACACGGTACACAGACATAGTATACAAACATGGCATACAAACAAAGTAAACAGACACGGTACACAGACACGGTACACAGACACCATACACAAAGTACTCAAACATGGCACGCAGACACGGTACATAGACACGGCACGTAAGCTTGGTACACAGACACGGCACACAGTGCACGGTGCTCAGATACGGCACACAACCACCGTACACGGGCATGGTACACATACATTACATACAGGCACGGTAGGCAGACACAATATACAGATGCGGTAAAAGGCACGGTACCGAAACACGGTACAAGGTGCAAGGGAAAAGTACATAATCACGGCATACGTACACGGCATACAGGCACGCTGTAGACGCGGCTCACGGACAGCGTATTCGCAGGACAGACATTGCCAGACAGGCAGACATGACTGCCACATGGCGCAGATACAGCACACAGAGAACAGACACGGATACGGACATGGCAAAGACAAGGTGCATAGGCCGGGTCCGGACGGTGTACAGAGACAGTGTGGCCGCGGTACAGACACGGCACAGACCTGAGACCTGACAGAGACACGGTACAGAGACGACACAGATAAGTGGCAGGAATGGCATGGTCATGACAGAAACACCGTGCAAATGTGGTACGCAGTAGAGACGTCGTACGAGCGTAGTGCAGACACTGTGCAGGCATTGTGCGGGCACGTTATAGACACGCTACAAATTTGCCATTTTCGGCGCTTGCAGTAGTTTCTTTACAACTTTCGTTTTTGTCTTGCTTACATGGTAGTCAACACATACTTTTTCAGCAAAGTTGGGACCAATCCCGAAAAGACCAGACTGTGCTTTTTTCAGTTATAGCTCAACTGCCTGAGTTTGTAAAAATGTTGTAAAAATGCATAATTGTGTTGTTGTAATTACATATTTACATATTTACATACAACATTTTTATGTTGTAATTACATAATTACAACATAAAAATGTTGTAAAAATGCATAATTCGGAACGGATGTTTCTGATACAGTTGTGATTGTCATGTGCGAATTGTCACACCCCTCGCGTGCACCGTTTTCTGAAGTGTATTTTTTATTATGAAACACAGATCTGTGCGTTTCACGTTCAGCAAATCGAGGAAGACATGTGAGGTTCTAAAATTACCACGTATTCAATCGGTTGCTGCAACCCAAACGCAACGCATGACCTTCAGCGCTCAAGCGGGTTGTACTACTCTACTGTCCCACAATTCTCCATTTGTTTGAAGGATGCCTGTACAGTGCATGCTATGCGGAAATCCATGCACAACAATCTTCACACACATCCCCCTCCCCCCCACACACACAGGCTTGTGGCCGGGTTCGTTTGGGGTGGCCGATGGCATGGCCAGTGTGAGGAGGTATGTGGCATATGCCTACAGCGTCAAGATTCAGCGTCCTTCGTCAAGATTGCACAGTTGGCTTCAAATTACCAGAAAATCAGAATTTGTAGATGACTGGCGGCACAAGAGCCAGTGCGAGCTCCTGGCATTGACTCATTGGAAGAAATGGCTTAAAATGATGAATGTAGGTTTTAGAAACTGAAACGGCGCCCTTAGGAAACCTCCGCACTTGGTGGTGTCGACAAATTTTCTTCGGTGGAGCGGGGTGTTTTCTCATGGTTTTGTTTCACATGAAAGCAGCCATGGAGTTTTTCCTGAAAGAAAATTTAATTGGCTGCCCATGTTTTCATCGAAGTATTTCAAGATCCTGGCTATTTTTGCGCATTCCGACGAAAGATAATGCGTTTCTTATGGTTATAAAGAAGTCAAGAAGCAAATATTCAACAAAGAAAAGACCATTTTTGGAAAACTGAGACTGTTTTGTTTCAAATGCGTATAGCTGACCTGATGTCTAGAACTTTTGGGCTGCCGAAATCCTATTTGGAACGCGAGATATATGAAGTCGCGCGCTGCGGGTAGTTGCGGTGTGAGAAATGTTTCTCGTTATACTTCAGCCATGCAAAAATTCCGTTATCAAAATGGCGTATTGTCTTGCTGTCATACGGCTTGAAAGTGCAAATGTGGTCTTTGGCCATTGGACTGAGACCGTGGTCTGCTTGATTGCGTTGCTCAGGGCCACAAGTATGGAACTGAAATAAGTCCATGACATATATTTATGATGCATTTGTGATAATCCCGGCTGGCGTACCACATCTCTTGTGTTCAGCGCCCTTCTGCCTGAAATAAGACTGTGACGTCAGCAGAACACAAATTGAGTGCTTTCTCCTCTCCCCCCCCCCCCCCCGCCCCCTCCATTCCCCAGTCTTCCATTTGTGTGCTGCCTAGCTGCAATGTATGGCCATGTGGCAATCAGCGTGCAAATATAATACACACAACCTTCTTTGTACATGGCACCAAATTGGCCTCTGAGTTTACGCGGTGGGGACGCGGTACAGGCACAGCGTAGGGGTCACGCCGCAACTCTCCCCTATTCCCCTTGCACCGCAAATAGCGACTGCATAATCCTCACAGCACTGCAAACCTAACTCTATGGAAACAGCTCTCAGTAAGTCCAGCTGTTGAACTCTCGGCTGGGGGCTGGACCCGTACCGGTGTCCGGCGTCACAACATTATTGCTACTGTAAAAACCACTACCGACAGGAGCGTTACATCAGTTATAGGCGGCATTACTTCTGCTGCAAAAACTGGTGCAGATTTTTTATATGCGATATTACTGCCACTGCAAAGGCTTATACACGGCCTGAATGTTATACGACAAAATTTGTGCTTCAAAGACTTATACACGTCAGTACATCTGCTGCAAAAACTGATGCAGTCTCGACTGGTTCGTGTCATTACTTCTCCTGCGAAAACCTATACACGATGGGAGTACTACAGGACAAGTCTGCATTGCAAACACTTATACTCATCATTACTTATGCAGCAGACTTATGCACTCTTCATATATACGTGACATTAATTTTTCCGCAAAAACTCATATAAGACATCAATAGCACACGGCAAACCTTGTACCGCAAAGAAATATGCCGATCATAATTTCTACGGGAAATACTTGAACACAAGTGTTTTCTGTAGCACTAATGTCGCGTATAAGTCTTAACAGCAGAAGTAATGCGTGTATAAGCAGTGGTTAATGTGTAAGTGGCGATGGCAATGGCTGTATAAGCGTTTGCCGTAGAGGTAATGAGAGGGATAAGTTGCTGAAGCATAGGTTTTGTCATGTAGCACTAATGTGTTAAAGTTTTTGCAGTAGAATACCGTCGCGTATAGGTAACGTCTGCATCAGTGTTTGGAGTAGAAGTAATGAAGAGTTGAACTTTATGCGGCGCAAGTTTTGTCGCGTAGCACTAATGTCGCATATAAGCATTGCTAGGAGCAATGTAGCATCCCTGTGAGTAAGAGTTTTTGTTGCAGTACTAATGTAGTGGAACCCCGGGGGCCCGTGCTACGATGTCAATAGTAATATCCTGCAGTCCCCTGGTATTTCGTCAAATTGAGATACTTCTTAACCCACAGCGATAAGAGCGTCCATTGGTCCCAAAACGCCGGCCTCACAGGCCGCCAGCTGACCCAACCCATCCCCCTCAAGCTCCCCCGCCCGACCATCCGCGGCTGACGATTTAGTAGCCGCGACCCCAGTGGTCTGACTCGACTCATAACCCGCTCCCGACTTCCCAGGCTCGGAGCTTCGGCTGGTCGGATACGGCCTGGACGCCACCGCTCTGGACACGGACGGCAGCTCGAGCCGTGGCTGGCAGGAGACCACCACGGCGGCCGTGGCGCCGCTGGCCGACTGTGGCGCCGCCCTGGCGGCATCGCCGCTCGCCGAGTTTCTGTTCCCGGGCGGATCGCGCGCCGGGCCCGACCTCTGCCTGGCGGCGGTGCCGCGCTGCGACCAGGACGCTGGCGGCCCGGTGGTGGCGCGCGCCCCCGATGGCGTCGGTCAGCTGGAGGGACTGCAGCTGATGGACAGCTGCATGCCCGGGCAGCCGCAGCTGGCGCTGCGCGTGCGCCACTACGTGCCCTTCATCCTGGAGACCATGGACCGGCTGCTGCAGCGGGTCGGCAGAGTGTAGGTCATCGCGCGACACTGCGACAGGCAACGCACCGCGCTCACTGGCGTCAGTGCTGAGTGAATGGTCGTTGTCGTACGGAAAAGTTGTTCTGCCTACGATGTACATGATTTGGTTTGGTACCAAGGGGACGCGCCAGCATGGAGGCGATTCGGAATCCAGGGTACTTCAACCACTGATGTGGCACGATGGCTGGGGCTCTTACAAGGCGGCTGGATAGATCACGCCCTGAAGAGATAGCGGCATCTAAGCCAGCGAGAGGTAACAGTATCTGGATGACGAAACTGGACCGTGTTCGAGACGAGACGAAAGCTTGTCTGTTAAATAGGGCGGAAATATATTTGCAAAGCGTTTAGTGTTCCGAGCCTCTGCGACACGTTGTGTGGTGATGCCCGATCCTCTCCTCTGCGACGGTCTCGCTTCCGGCTAACTCAATATGTCCAGGCAATGGTGGCTAACATCAGTGTGGCACGTGGGGCGACACTACCAAGGTGCCTTACCGGTAAAAGCAACAGTGTCATTTACCGAAGCGTGGAACCGCTGCAGACATTGGCACTCCACTTCGTGGCGGTGGCTGCGGCGCCGGACCCGACAGTGCACCCGGAGACCGAGCCATGGAGCCCGTGTCTGGCTGCACTGCGCTGCCGGTCGCGCCGCCCGCTCTCGTGTCGTCGTGGTCCAGGGCCCTGTCCTACCGTCACCGTCGAGACGCGACCAGCCGCTAAATCAGCGCCGCTAATAGGGGACAACTGGCCAACCAGCACTGGTGTACCGCACGCCATGGAGGCCCGACGTGCCAGGTTCAGTGCCCTTCCATATCTAACGCCCGCAGCCTCGCACATGTTGCATCCATGAAACATATCAGGTTCATTCCGGTACTACGTAGCACTGTAGCACGTAACGTCAAACGCCTTTTATAATGGTGTACGACGAACCAAGAACCAGTATGATCCAACGACAAACCCGGCGCTGCATCGAAGCGGAGGACGGCCAGTACAGTATGGCCTGTCTTCAGCCGTCTTCAGTCGATAAGTATGCGACTGCCGATCAGCAACGCAAACACTGAGGGGCTTTTCCACGAATCCCGCTATCGAAGGCATCAACAACGCCGAGCTGCGGACTTTGAGCCGCACTGGTGGATCTTGACTTGACGAAAAGCGGCGGATCGATTCGTCAAGACAACGCCAATCAGCCTGTCGCCCACTTTAAACTCGAGGAATTAGCCCGGAGTCCACTTTGGCCTCTGTCATTATTCCCAACGATTACTTTCATTGATCGACGCTACGACAGCCAATCAATGTAGGTTGACGTCTACCGTCAATAGCTGGTATCCTGGCAACGCTCAACAATCAAGGACGCCATCACTGAACACAGATTTGTCAAGAACACCAGCTGATTGATCTGATCTGATCAAGAACCAGAACTGATCAAAAACACCACAGATTGGCAAGAACAATTAGAGTGGCTGCACGAAAAATTCGTTCTCTGAGCTTTCCTGAGCGGGCGCCAGAGCCGCTGGATTAAATGCACGACGACAGTTGTGTTTGAGAGCGCAGGCGGACATGTGAGCTACACCAGCACCCCGATAAAAATTCATGCTTTTAGTTTCCGCCGAGGCCGAAGCACGGGTGTCGGTCAGATCATACCAGTCACTTTTCTTTGCTGGGCACAAACGACTCTTTTCCAGATCCTCATTGTTTTCCACATCATTTACGGCAATATATCAAACCCAAATTCCACAATTCCAGCTATATTGCTATGGGAACGGAACAGTCTGAACACCGGTAGCATGATTCTCATTCGTGAAACACCGCAACCAAGAACAGAGACTTTTTGGCTGTCTAGAACCTACTAACGGAAATACGTTTGGTTACATCTTACGGCCGGGTCGGTCCCGTCCGTCAGCCAGAGTTACTCCCGCGCGGCCTCGAGCCTTCAGATGGCCTCGGCTGCCCGGCTCTGGCTGCGTCGCCTCGCGGCCTAGACGCCCTCCATGTCGTAGTCGGGCTTGCCGGTCTTGCTGGACATGATGAACTTCATGTGGTGTTCGGTGGCTATCAGACATTTCTTGACGTCGGGGTGCTGCGTCATCCGCATCACCCACTCGTGCTGCAACGGCAGAGACATGATCAGTGACGCCCGCTCGCCGCGGACCGTGACTGCGGTCATGTAGCAGGCTCGTCTTGCCTAACTGGGCCTTCTGATATTCAACTGGGCCGCGAGCGCTAGCTGCTAGCCTGTGTTGCAAATCCTGCGACGCCTCGGGATGAACAACAGCAAGGAACAAAGCGACTAAACGCCTCAACACCGGGTGAAAACAGCACCCCTCACATGGATGGGTGCTACCAGAAACAGGTGAGCACCATGCGACCATGGAGACCCCGGATTGGTCGTTTGTCGTCGGAGAACAGGTCAATAGCGTTGTCTGACAAAAAACAAAAACGGTCAACGACATCGGCCATGGGAAATTTGCATTGATGGTAACAACTGAGCACACGGCACCAACAAGACACGAGCGGCAGTCGAGTAAGAGCATGCACACAGTCTGTACAAACTGTCCGTGCCGCGCGCAAACAGTCGGTGCAAAAAAGTACAAAACAAAACAAAAACAAAACAAACAAAACAAAAAAAACCAACAAAACAAAGTACAGTACAAGCCCACCACTCGCAGGCTTTGGTTAACGCAGATTCTCGCAGCGCACCGCCTAAACACTTAACACACCTAAGTACTGGCTAAACACCTGACGAGAATAGCTTCGGTCACTGAATTATCAGCAACGCGAGCCCCATCTGCCGATCCGCGCGGCCCCATTAGACGGCTGCGCCGCTGGCACCCATCGATCGGACCGCCAGCAACTAATGATATCACCGCCGCCGCTGCCGCCGCCTGTTGCCCGGCATTATCGTGGAGCACACAAGCCCAGGTCAGCAGCCATCGATCATCGGAGCGGGGCGAGGACGGTCCCCCCCGCAGAGCGTGCCCGGTACGCTGGGCGTGCGGACGTCTGCACCAGAGGTCACCGTCTGTGACCTCGAGCGCCTGTGACCGTCTGTAGCCTCGAGCGATCACAGCCGTGATCAGGACGGGATCAGGCCAAGGCAGGGGAGCATGAACGGTTCATCTCATTCCAGCTCTAATCATGAACACTGATCGCTTTGTCTACCAGATAACTTGTTCGTCGCCCAAACGGTACCGCATCTGATGTCTAAAAAACGTGTTAACATGTTTTTCGCCTTTCTCTGTTCACTTTTGTCGGTGCGAACGTCAGCCAAACCCGAGGCGCTGCCCCTTGCTCAGCTGACGAGTCGGAGAGTTCGCAAAGACGGTCGGAAGCTCGGCTCACGCGTGGACCGATGCGAAATGCGCAACATTACCGTCTCTACGCGGGCGCCCTACGCGTGCGCCCCGTGTGTATCCTGAACACCCGGAAGGCGGGGCTCACGCCCCTGTCTTCCAGGGACACGCGCACAGGATGTGTGCATCAGTGGTTCGAGAGTGGGCACGTCTCGATCAGTATATATAGCGAGCCTGTCCGATGCAATACAACCAGTGTTTTCTCATCAGCCTTTGGCGCAACATCCCCAAGAACCTTGACTACACCCCGCATCATTGAAAACGCACGCTGCGGCGGTTTAACAACGTGACACACAACAGGTATTCTGCGGCGTGCAACCTTGCAATCACTTGCAGTGCGCGTATAATCTGGCGTATGGTTTAGGAGCATTCTAGAATTTAGAGGCTGAGAATATCTTGTAAATGACTACTTAAATTTAAGTCCCGGGATAATCAGAAACGCGATGCCATCATGGGATCGTTTTTCATATGTCCGTGAACGTCCCGTTTAACAGAAAATCGGAGCGGTTAGACAAACTGTTCGGCCTTTCCAAACAAGAAAGAACCTAATAATTGCTCCAGTTGCTTCATAAGGTCAATGACCTAAAATCCTGTGCTACTGATCGTGGGATGCAATCGCTTCACAGAAGTACAACGATTAGTAATGCGAGGAGCCACGCCATAAAGCAGTCCAAACTGCATCAATGTCTTGTCACACCATCCCAAAAGCCCTCGTGCTGAGCCGCACAACAGCGGGGGGGGGGGGGGCACGCACCAGATTTTTGATGGAGGGTGGCGGCGGCGGCACCTCTCCTTCAGGCAGTGTGGTGACGCCCAGCTTGCGAGCGGCCGGGAAGCGCTCCATCCACGGCCAGATCATGAGGTCCAGCATACCCGGACGGTCGCCGTGGTAGAAGGGCGTGCCGCGGCGAATCAGCTCTTCCTCGAACGGCTGAGGCACGGCAGGGGCAGAGTTCAGCAGACAGGTGACACAGGACGAGCTCATCGAACTGGTGGCACAGGTGAGCTAAACAGGCGGCTGGCGACAGAGCGAGCTCATCAGATAGACGACACAGCGGGAGCTCGTCAGACGGACGCCACAGGATGAGGCGATCAGATGGACGGCACAGGACAAGCTGATCAGACGGACGGCACAGAACAGGCTGATCAGGCGGATGGCACAGGACGAGCTGATCAGCAGAGGGCAGAGGACAAAGTGATCAGACGGAGGGCACAAGACAAGCTGATTAGACGGAGGGCACATGACAAGCCGATCCGACGGAGGGCACAGGACAATCTAATCAGACGGAATACATAGGTAAAGGTGATTTGGCGGGGGGGGGGGGAGGGGCACAGGACAAGCTGATCAGACGGAGGGCGCAAGACGAGCTGATCAGACGGATGGCACAGAACGAACTGATCAGGCGGATGGCACAGGACGAGCTGATCAGACGGGGGGGGGGGGGGGGGGGGCACAGGACAAGCCGATCCGACGGAGGGCACAGGACAAGCTGATCCGACGGAGGGCACAGGACAAGCTGATCAGACGGAGGCCACAGGACAAGCTGATCAAACGGAGGGCATAGGATGAGCTGATCAGATGGACGGAATAGGATGAGCTTGAGGGAAGGGCGCTGCAGAGCGGGCTCATCACTTGGACGATACAGGCAAAGCTTACCAGACGAGGATTACCAGATGGCACATTGCCGCTTCATCAGACCGACGGGTGTCGCAGTCATCATCATCATGGTCATCATATCATCACACGCATGGCTGGCACAGTGAGTGGTCATCGCCAGCTCCATAACCGATAAGGGTGGTGTGTGGGGGAAGGGGGGGGGGGATAAGAAGCCGTCCGCCGCTGCCCCTGGGGGAGGGGGAGGAGCAGTCCCCTAACACCGCACCCTTGAGAGGACACAAATGACATGACGTTGAGCAAATTGACACGCGTCAGAAATTCGAAACCGCGCCTTTCTTCACCAATGCGCAGTGTGCGTTTATCCTGGCATATTGCTCACAAG